AGGGGGGGGGACTGGATGCAGTGGCAGGGAGCATAGCCCCAGCTGGGAGCAGAGCTTATAGCTGGGTGGGGAGCCTTAACCTCCCCTTGTCCGGCAAACTCTGTGGTTCAGGACCATGCGGGTCCTGAGGGTGCTGGACAAGGGAGGTTCGACCTGAAGAAACATTCTGTTCAGGGCAGCAGAAGCTAGTTATTGTATCTGAGGTTGGACTGTTGCTGTATCTTGTACTGTGTTGACTGAAGTTGGAAGTTTGGAGTTTTAATGCCATGTCCGCAGGGCTGTGTTTGTTTTTTATGAAATCAGAACAGGGTGTTTTGTTCACAATGTTAGTTTCTGCGCTTCGTGATTCACATTCCAAAGTCACCTGCATTTTAATATTCGATCACATCGGCTGAATTAGTACGGCCAGATCCTAACCACTGGTCTGGCCTTTTGGGGCCACTCTGCTCGAAAGCTGCCATAGGAAGGAATACATTGGAGATTGAAAGGGGGTAGGGAAGTTGTTGGAAGGACCATTGTATACTCAGGCAGTCTCGGGCTGTTAGGGTAGACTGTTACCGCTAACCTTCCATTTCGTGAACTCTAAATCCAAACGGCTATGCAGAAGGCAAACCAGAGGCAACACAGTGTTGTTAATTGCGGATGGTGATGCAGAAGGCATTCAATAATGTCCTGGCTTACTTAAATTAATGCAATAAAAATACCAGGTGCTCTGAATGTATTTCTTGGTATCTGGTGTCATTTATTAGTTTGATTGTTGCATATTTTGCATCTTTCTCTAGTGTTCTCGTAATTAGCCGTTCTTATGTCGGAGAGCTACTTGTCTACGTTACGTTTTTCCATTCTCAGCTTAACCTTTTACTGACTTCAAAGGGGCCTCACCTGTTGTGTGGCAGTCCTCCGCTCACCCCGATGCCTCTTGCAAGCTGCTGGCTGACCGTGCTGGATCTTCAGTGGCATGGCCCCCTGGCCAAATTACATGGTCAGACTGACACCCTTCCCGGGTTTGAAAGAGTCTGTCAGCAGTCTGTTTACTCTCCCCAGGGTGTTCAGCCCTGACTGCGGGTCACTTAAATTCAGACTTTCATCCAGGTTCTTAAATAAGCTCCATTCCCTTCTTGGGGTTTATGCCACTTTGTGTGTGGCCAGAAAGGGAGTCCGAGCCCACCCCTAGCACTGACTTCAGCCCCAGGGCTCTATAAACAGCAGCCATGTAGTGCTTGATTCAATGCATTGCTGCTTCTTCCCTGTGCCTCTTCCTGCCTGGACCCTGTGGGTTCAGCATTATCTCTGGGCTAAGGTTCTCTCCCTGCTAACCCAGCTATGCCAAAGGCAGCCAGAAAACAAACTCTGGCTGTCCCTCCGATCCCTTTGCCAAAAAATGAGGTTTGCAGGATCTTTCGAAAAAGGGGTTTATTTTCGAAAGATCCCCGTCCAAACAGCCGTTTTTCTTTCGAAAAACCCCGTATTGAAAAAACCGCGGCTGCCATTATACAAATGAAGCACAGGAAACTTAAATCCCAGCTTCATTTGCAATTTTCAAATGTCTAATTTACATCCCTTTTTCGAGAAAAGGAATATAGTCTCCTCAAAGCCAGACTGGCCGCTGTTCTGGGGGTGTACAAGGATCAGGGGCCTGATTGCAGATGGAGGAGGGAGGGGAGTAATGGGTCCAGCCATTGGAAGTGAGACAAATCGACTCTAACTCCAGCAGTTATTTGTGACATGGAGCCCAGAGGTGAGCTCTGTCACACCCCCAGAGGAGACGGGTGGCTGTGTTACACTCTGAGCTGATGTTTCCTTGGATAGAGTCCCTGCATTCGCTCAAACTGCCTGCCTCATGCAGTGCCTTCAGTAAACCCACTGAGCAGGGTTGGCAAGTTGCTCCCTAGCTGACTAACAGCCCAGGGGAAGGGTCGACAGAGATCAGCACAGCGCATCCCAGAGCAGGGGTGGGCAATAATTTTTGACGGGGGGCCACTCCCAAGGTTTCTGAAAGTGGTTGAGAGCCGCTCTCTTCTAGGATCTTGATGGAGGTTGGGTTCAGAAGGAAGCTCTGGGGAAGGGAGAGGGGTGCAAGAGGGAGAATGGGGTCTGGAAGGGAGTTTGGGTGAAGGAGGCAGTTTTGACCTCGGGCAGGGGACTGGGATGCAGGATTTTGGGATGTGACCCAGGGTAGGAGGGGATTGTGATCTGGGGCAGGAGATTGGAAAGCCAGATCTGGGAGGGAGGTATGAGTGCAGGTGCGGTGGGAAGGGAAGGGCTGGGGTGCCAGAGGCAGGGTCTGGCTTGGGGGGGGTGGCCCTGCACAAACTGCCCCAGCAGAAACCTGAAGCAGACTGTCTGCTGCAGGCTGCTCACTGCTCCACATGGCTCTGCTCCGGGTATGGGGGGAGGGAGGGGTTGAGGAGGAAGGCAGAAGGCTTCCTACACTGCCCCTGCGCTCAGCAAAAATTCTCAGCTCCTATTGGCTAGAAACTGAGAGATTGGCCAATGGGAGCGAAGAGATTTTGCTGGGGGGTGGGAACAGCATGAGAAGTCTCCCTCCCGGCTACCCAGAACAGAGAACAGCTGGCTTTTTAAAGTGTGAGCTGTTCTCTGCCTCAGGGTTCCAGCAAGGTGTCCGTGGGCCGGATCCGGTGCCTTGATGGGCCAGATCCAGCCCTCTGCCCACCCCTGTCCCAGAGGACCTCCCGTAGCAACCGAACTTTGGATTGTTCTACACAGCAACTCTCAAACCTAACGGAGGCACCCATCGAAGGGTGTAACTTAAAATATGGGATCTTGAATAAGACAGAAAAATGGATTTCAAAAGCCAATGGATACCGGATATCAGGGGGCTGTGGACACCTGCAAAGATGGAGCGAGGTTGATGTGCATTGATGTTTGAAAAGGGTCAAACGCCCCTGACCGGGTGTCTACCACCATCAGACTTGTTGCTCAGAGTGGATGCTGTGGGATTGCTGGATGGACCCCCTAAGCCCAGTCTAGATATTGAAGCCCTCTGGCCTATCTTTGTGGCAAAATAAGACTCCTCGGAACTGGGGGACTTCTCAGCTTAAGGGCTGAGTTGTAAACCCGGAACACCATTCAAGATGGAAAAGGCCAATGCCTGGCTTTTGGGTCCTCAGCTCCCTGCTTCTCATGAAAGGGTTCCTCTAGTATTTGGAAAGAAGCTTCATTACCTTTGTGATTGAAGTCATAGATATAGTCGGGACAGGGCATGGCCACCACTTTGCCCGGCACGCCTTCGGGCCAGCAGACAATGCCGTCCCACTCGGACAGACAGAAGCCATCTGTGGGATAAAAATGGAAACAAGGAAGGTCACCGAGCCTGCTGCATTTAGCGGCACGCCCCCCAAATTCGCCCCCTCAGAACTGCAGTGCCAACTGCCTCATGGCCGCGCATAGAAAGGGCTTTCTCCGGATAGAGAGCTTCAGGGCACAAATAAATGCTTTTCCATCCTACCTGGCATTATGGGTGCAAGTCGTTAATAGAGAGAGCGCCATCTACTGGCGGATGAGAAAAAGCCACATGGTCAAGATGCTGGTAGGTTCAATAAAGCTATGGTGGCTACTGGCACACAGCTCCTCACATCTGCCAGCAGTGGTGGAAGAGATACAACTCATCAAATTTGACACTTTACATGCAAATTTGAATAAAGACGCTAATTATCTTACCCATTACAAAGATAGCTTCCCCAATTATCACCTCTAACATCATTAGCTCACAGACATTTACCTCCCCCCCATCCCCCTTCTGTTCTGAAATTTGATTTGTCCTTTTCATATGTGTTCATTTTTTTTAATTGTATCCTTTGGTATATATGGTTGTGACAATTTTCTTCCACTATTTGATCTGAGGAAGTGGGTCTGGCCCACGAAAGCTCATCACCTATTAAACCATGTTAGTCTTTAAAGTGCTACACAGTCCTGTTTTTTGTTTCTGAAAGGGTACGTCTATCTTATTTCATAGAGGGATAAGGGATCTTTTGGAAAAGGCTTTATTTTCCGCAAGATCAGCGTCTAGACTGGCGCTTTTTTCCGACAAAGCTCCGTGCGGAAAAAAAGCGGCAGCCATTTTTATGCTAATGAAGCGGGGGAGATTTAAATCCCCGCTTCATTAGCAATTGCGATACGTCTAATTTACATCCCTTTTACGAAAAGTCTAGACGTAGCCAAAGGGTACGTCTACCCTGCATCCCTCTTTCGAAAGAGGGATGTAAACTAGACATACTGAAATTGCAAATCAAGCCAGGATTTGAATTTCCCGTGCTTCATTTGCATAACCATGGCACAGCATTCTTTCGAAAAACGCTATTTCGAAAGTGAAACTGTGGTCCAGACACGGTTGTTTCGAAAAGAAATGCCTTTTTGAAAGATCCTGTACGCCTCAATCTTTCAAAAAAGGCTTTTCTTTTTGAAAGAACTACGTCTAGACTGTGGTTTCACTTTCGAAATAGCATTTTTCGAAAGAATGCCGTGACGCAGTTATGCAAATGAAGCGTGGGGAATTCCAGTCCCAGCTTCATTTGCAATTTCGATATGTCTAATTTTCAAAAGAAGGATGTAGTTTAGACGTACCCAAAGGGACAGAGTCCAGATAAAAGGGCTGCAGGCCGGGTATGCTCTGTGGGAATTCCTCTGAAAGCCACTTCCTCTGTTGGTTCGACATCGTCTATGAGGACCTGTAGGACAGCTCACGTTGTTACCCACACACTTGCAAACGGGGCCAGCGGGAGAGATTACGAAGGCTGGGGAACTGAGCAGTAAGAATTGCTTAGGAGCTGAGGTTAAACGCCCAGTAGCTTCCAATAGACAGTTCAAATACACCAGTGACTCATGGCAAATTCTACTGACAAGTCTCAGAGGGGTGGCTGTGTTAGTGTGAATGGCCGTACTTGCGCAAGAAGCCGCGAGTGTAGACACAGCCTAGGTGTGTGGGTTCCATGTACACAGCCCTAGTTTTCGGCATTCTCTTAAAAGTAGGGAAGGAAACCCTTGGGATTCTTCCTGCCTATCCAAAACTGGCTTGCAGCTAGATATGTCCTATAAAGTCCCAATCCTGCAAAGTCCTGAGCTCCAGTCCAACAAAGTGCTAAAACACATGCTTAATTTTAACTCCCGGAGTAATCCCATAATCAGCGGGATTATGTTCATCATGCTTATAATTAAACACTTGCTTAAGTATTATGCTGGGCTGGAGCAGCTGGGCCTTTCAGGATCATGCCCCAAGAGTCCCTCTGTAAGGAAACAAGTGCAGACAGACAGACGGACCCCAATCGGATTTAATTTCAGAGCTGCAGGAGGCAGCTTTCCCTTCTTCAGCAACTGCCCTGCTGCAGACTGACAGGCCCAGCAGAAGTGCATTCTCAGCTCTGTGTATAGTGTTTGGTCTAACAGCACTCTACGGGAGTCAAAAACAGAATGGAAGACAGCCTGCTCGCTCGTCTCTTCTGTGTTCCATTATTAAAGACACAACAACATGTTCCAAGATCACAGAGTTGATGTTCTTCCATTAAAATCAAAGCCAGGCCATCAACCATCTCTCAGTCATTTAAGGAGTGCTGTTTATTCTTTTTTAATGCGCATGCTTTCGTCTGATTAAGGTACAACTCAGGGTTCCTTTAAAAAAAAGTGGCTAATTTTCCCTCCGTTGAGTTTCGGGGTGTCAGAGTCTGATTCAGGGTATGTCTACGCTACAGAGGTTTTTTTGGAAAAACAGCCGTTTTTCTGGAAAAACGTCACTTACGTCCACACTGCAATCACATTCTTTTGAAAGAAAATCGAAAGGACAGAAGGGTTTTTCGACATTGGTAAACCTCTTTCTACGAGGAAGAAACCTTTTTCCGCAAGAGCTCTTTCGCAAGAAGGCGTGTGTGGACGGGGAAGAGGGAGTTCTTTCGGAAGAAGAGGAAAGAGGAAAAAGCACAGGTGCCTTGGTGGCCACTCTGTCCGTAGTAATCACAGCTGAAATGAGAGATAGCATTCATTCAGTGTGGACGCTCTCTTTCGAAAAAGCAGATCACTTTTTCAATGCACTTGGGCAGTGTGGATGCTTTCTTTCGGAAGAAGTTTTTTCAGAAGATCTCTTCCGGAAAAGCTTCTTCCGAAAGAAGCCTGCAGTCTAGACATAGCCTCAATATGCTGGTAATTTATGGCCTACAATGACACACAGTTTAACTTGATTTCTTGTTTTTGATTTAGTGCTGATGAAAGATAGCAGATTGGCAGTGATAGGAAAGAGAAACCCCCGGATAGAGTGAACAGATGTTTCCCGCTCTGGCATGACATGCAGAAAACAGAGAGCTATATCTCATTGGTCCAAGTTAGGCTACATCTAGACTGTTGGCTTCTTTCGGAAGAAACTTTTCCAGGAGAGATCTTCTGAAAAAACTTCTTCCGAAAGAGCGCGTTCACACTGTCAAAGCGATCGTCAGGCCCTATAGAGTTGTGATTACTTTGGACGGAGTTTCCACCAAGGCACCTGTGTTATTTCCTGGAGGCCTTTTCTTTCAACAACAACAAGAAACTCCTCTTCCCTGTCCACACATGCCTTTTTCAGAAAAAGGCTTCTTCCTCAGAAAGAAGATTACTGCTGTCAGAAATCCTCTGTTCTTTTGATTTTCTTTCAAAAGAATGCGACTGCAGTGTGGACATAAATCAAGGGTTTTTTTCAGAAAAATGGCTGTTTTCTGAAAAAACTCTGTAGTGTAGACATAGCCTTAAAGAGAGAATGGATACACGTACCCAATTTCCATTAGCAGTATCTAGGCTGGAACGATGAACTTTTTATCAATAAGAGCATGTCTACACTAGGAAACTATTTCAAAATAACTAAAATCGATTTAATAACTCCCGAAATCACAAAATCAAAACAGTGTGTCCTTACCATAGGGAAGCCTTGAGATTACTCCGACAACAACAATAACAACAATACGACAGAATTGTATAGCTATTGACTATTTTGAAATGAGCATTATTCCCCAAGGAAAGCAGGAGTACAGATTTCAAAATAAGCAGACTGTTATTTTGAAATAACGGGCTTGATCGTGGGCATGCGCCGCTTATTAATTTGACTGAAGGGGGGTTATTTTGAAATAAAGCTCTCGTGTAGACCAGGGCTCAATGTTGATTTCACCCGACATAAAAAATGTTCACCAACAAATAATCAAAATTTACAGATAACCCAAGTTTAAAGCAAAAACAAAAACTCTGCTGCTTGAGAAAGCAAGGAAGTTTGCATTAAGGCTATTTCCTTTGCATATGTTGACAGGGGATGTTGACATTTTGTGTTTTCACAGTTATAAAGATTTCACTTTTGGAATCTCAGGGTACGTCTAGACTACATGGCTCCGTCGACGGAGCCATGTAAATTTGTTTGTTCGGCAAAGGGAAATGAAGCTGCGATTTAAATAATCGCGGCTTCATTTAAATTTAAATGGCTGCCCCGCTCTGCCGATCAGCTGTTTATCGGCAGATCGGGGCAGTCTGGACGCTCCCCTGCCGACATGTAAACCTCATCCTACGAGGCATAATGGGGAGGTCGGTAAAGGACTTTCAGGTTGGCACGGGAGCGTTCAGACTAGCGCGCTGAGTCGACAAACAGCTGATCAGCTGTTTGTCGGCTCAGCGCAGCAGCCATTTAAATTTAAATGAAGCCGCGATTATTTAAATCGCGGCTTCATTTCCCTTTGCCGATCAGCCTAATCTACATGGCTCCAGCGATGGAGCCATGTAGTTTAGACACACCCTCAGTGTCTACTGAAATTGACACAATGATTGCCTGTCCCCATTTAATGTCCCATAATGGAGACATCTTAAACTGATAAAAAGAGGCATACACTGCGGAAAAGCCATCACTTCATGCCACTGTGAAAACGAACATGAAAATGTTTTCAAAAAAAGAGATTTAGTAACCGAAATGATTTTAAAAAATAAAAATCAAATTCCACCAAGACTAGTTGTATAGCAGCTTCTCTTGTAAGGTGTTTCTTCCCTGGGAACCCCTCACTTTCTGCAGGTAAGGAATACTGGTGCTTCCTAGAATCATAGACTCATAGGGCTGGCAGAGATCTCAGGAGTCGTCGAGTTCAACCTCCTGCCCAAAACAGGACCAACCCCAACTCAATCAACCCAGCTAGGGCTTCCCCCCCCCCCCCCCAACGTTTTTTTTTTCTCAACAAAAAATCCTTGGTGTTCCTCATAAAAAAAATGTATTTGGTGTTCCTCAGCCTTAAAAAGTTTAAGCAACATTGATTTAGAGCTTAGGAAGTAGCGTGTATGAAGAGGTTTG